TCTGTGTAAGAAAAAAAGTAGACACAATGGAGCATTTGGAGGCGTTGGTAGAATGCCCAAAAAAGGTATCGGCATTTTTTTTGGCCACAGAAAAACAGAAAACAGACTTTGCTGCACTTTTCTGCACTTGAGCCTCTAACGGTAGTTCCAGCTAACGAGCTAACGTAAATTAAGATCGCTTGTTCTGTTCTTCTCGGGCTTTTCTCGGTCTTCCAGGCAGCATCTTTCGTGGAACAAAAACCAAATGTGTTCGGCGGCAAAAAATAACCCAAAAGTAAACAAAAGATTCAGCCGGAGAAGAAAAAACATGGAATGGGGAGGGGAATGTGCTCCTCTCGTTTTGCTCGTTTTTCTCCCAAAAACGGAAAGGCCAGGCGAAGACTTTAGACTTCAGACTTCACTCAACGCCAACGCATCATGTGTGTACTACGTACTGTGTGTATATATGGCTGCAGATCCCAGATCCAGATCCCCCGACCCAGTTTTCCATCTCCGAACGCACCATCCATACCAAACTCATTTGCATGTGGGCAGTGGGTCAGTGACTGGCGGGAAATCTATCTTTCAGTCAACCGAGATTCTGATGCCTTGGTGGGCAGTTAGTGCGTTCTCCTTGGATAGTTATGGCTTTTGTCTAGTCACCTCGCATTATCCCCCTACCGCCTGGAAAAACAAATCGCATTTTCCCCACCCACATCGACTTCTTTTCTTCTCCACTGAGTTCTACAAAAGTCTTCATCGGCCGCAACTGTAATAAAGAACTACATACCGTATACAAATCGATTTCACCCAGTTCTCTGCTCTTTTTTCTTCAGACTCTCTTACATGCAGCACATATTTTCTTTTATGGCCATCCGTTTTTGTTGGGTTCTAGCCATAAAAAACTATTGCCTCCGTGGATGTGAATGTGGATGTAGATGTCGATGCAAGGAAATCTACCTTATAGAGAGGGCCCAACCCAACTGAAATCCAAGCTGGAATTTCGGCCTGTCCAGGTGGATTGCGTGCAACATGCGCTCGCTTGTCATAAAAGTTGCCACTTTATGACTTACTTATGTGTGTTACTGTATACTGAATATAGGAAAAAATAACAAACTGGCCAAGGGTAAGAAACTCACAACTTTGAAGTCTCTGCCATCTCACGGCGGAAATAGACCTAATGATCAATTAGCTCTGAAACGCGCTGCCGTTAGCTTCCGACTTCAAACTTGTCCACTGGGAGCGTCCAATTTCTGGACGATGGATGGATTGCGAGTTCGGGGAGCAGCCGAGGTAATGCGCAACTATGCGTCACTGCAATTAACCCAAAGCTCTAATTGGGGATGGTTAGCTGGGCATAAAATGTGTATTTTAAGGCCCATTACGGATGGCTTCCTGTCGCAAGAAACTCGCCACGGCCACGGCAATAGAAAATCAAATAGAAGCCGGAGCAGTTGGAGCTGTCAGAAGTGCAGCCGTCGTGTATGATGATTGCGCAAGCGACACATAAGCGAACTGCAACTCCCCAGTTGAAGATCCCAGTTGAGATCCCAGATCCCAAAGCAACTCCGACTCCAGCTTTAATTGGAAATTGTTGCAGCAGAGGCATCGCCGTCGTCATCCGCGGCAGCACCAAGCACCAAGCAGTCAAGTGTTCTAGTTACGTGGCTGTCGTTTGCTTTCAATCTTTTGGCGCTCCGGCGCTGGCAATTGCATCACGCGAGGCTAAGAAGTGAGCCGAGCTGCCAACGGGTTTGGGTTTGCGTTCGCTGCCATCTATCTCTTCCACCTCCTTTAGCTACTTTCTAAAGCCTTTCCTCGCCGCGCCAGCATCAAGCTAAAAATGAACAGGGAGAAAAGTTTTCGAAAAAGATTTTCTGGTAAAGATTTACCAAGCCTCAAAAATAACTGTAGAGACTTTCGTATATTTTTGCAGATTTTTGAATAATTGGCATCATTGAAAGTGCGTTATGCAATGGGCAGCATTGCCAAAACTTGCTACTTTCGTGCACTTGGCATCATTGTAAGATTGAACCTCCTAACCAACCTATGCAAAACTTTCTTCTATAAAACCTTTTATTCTAGTTCCCCGATCTAGTTTCCCAGTTTTTTCCTCAAGTGTACAGCCTCAACTTCTCATCTCTTCTCAGCCTGGTTCACTTGGTTACTGTGCGCAGTTTTTCCCCCCGGTTTCCTTTTTGTTTTTCCCCGTATCCCCGTTTTTTTTGTCTTTTTTGTTTAGCGCCCAGGTAACTGTTCCCAACTACAACAACAACGGCAACCTCGAGTTGCAGTTGGGAAACTGGTGCAAGCTTTTCTGCTGCGTTTCAGAGCTTCGCTGTTGGTTCTTCTGCGCTGGCTGCAAATTTGCAGTTAGTTCTACTGTTGTGTTGTCCGCCGTCGAAGTTGTCGTCGTCGTTGTTTCTTTGGGCTTTGATTTTGCTATAGAGCTACTGCTATGTATGACATTACTTGTTCACTTTTTTCCTATTTTTCTATTTTCTTTTGCGCCTGAAATTGGAAATTAACGTGCTACAACTAGGCTATAGGATCCGAACTGAACTGAAACTGAGCAACAACTGCAACGGCAACGTGAACAGCCCTTTGTTCTTAAAGTTTTTACAGAAATTAATTAAGTGCCTCGACTGGAAGCCAGGGAACTAGGGGATTTATAGAGGTTGTTAGGAAAGTTGCTGCTTTTGCTCCGTTGTTAGTTGTTAGTTTTGTGTCACATGAGCCAAAAGTCTATAAATTTGCAAGAGCCATAAAATTAGCTCGTAAAGTTTTGTTTTTAGTACGGCCCCTATATTTATATGTATGTTGTATGCCCACATTTATAATGCCACTAATTAAAAGAGCGGATACCGAAAACCTGAAGTAATTTGGTGGAGCATTATTTTATTGCTGAAGATGGGAATCAGTCGAGTGGATTTACGACTAGTGATATGAGGAGTGGGCAACTGAGCTTTAAAGTGTCTTGTCTTCTCGGCTAATGTGACACCCCCTTTGTTTTCAATGCCCCAATCAATTACTCGTTTTAGCCACCGTTTATGACCATCAAAGAGTCATTTATAACCGAAACAGTTTTGTCAAATTTCGATGGCCAATCCTTTTTAACCGGGGAAACCGAAAACCTGCTGACAGCTGCCGCTCATCGCTGATGGATGGGCGTTTTGCAGCTTTTTGGTTGGCAGAAGACCGCGATTAGAGGAGCTGAAAGGGTTAACCAGGGGATTTTGGGGAGGCTTTTATCAGCAATCTGTCTGTCGGAGCACAAACATCATCATCATCATCCGCATTTGCGGCAGCTTCAAAGGCGGCGACATCTTCTGACTGACTGCGTGGTCGGCGTTTGACGTTGAATTTACAAATTACAACTAATTAAAAGTTGATGAGTCTGCGTGAGTGAAATCAAGCGGAGGCATCTCCTTGCTGATTTCAAATTCCCCCGGCACTGATAAGCAAATGAGGAAGTCAGAGGGAAATTCTTTGAAAAATTCTATTTATTTTTGTGTTCACTTTTTTCCCCACTTTGGCTATTTGCGCAAGTCATTCGAGTGTTCTGGTTGTCTGGCCGATGTTTATCTGGGGGAACTATGATGGGGCATCCGCTGCACAACAACATAGTTGTTGTTGCTGCACAGGAAATGTTTTTTTGCCAGAGAGGTGCAAATAAAAATATTCGCGTAATATGTTGTCACTCGACATAGTCCCCGATATCGAATCAAATTTCCAGCCATATCCTAAACTAATAAAAGAAATTTCCCCCGAAATAAAAAAGCAATTTTAAAGCTTCGGAAAAAGTTGGCAATAAAAATATTGCCAGAAATAATTGCGCAAACATTTTTGCTATGGCAACTGCTAAGATTTCCATAGAAAGAATTTCGCTTTGCTCTGCTCGAAAGATGGAAAAAAGAGAAAAGTAAGTGCGCAAAATGAAAACATTTTTATGCCGATTTGTGTGGGAAAGAGCAGCGAAAATGATTATGACAACGATGATGACGTTGACAATGACAACACAGCCAACAGCAACACAACGGCAACACAGCAGCAACATCAGCAGTTAAAGTTGCTGTTGCAAGAACCACAATTGCGGGAATTGACTTATCCGCACTAAGAAAAATCAGTTTGTCTATGGTTTTTATTTAATTTCTATCTAAAATCCAAGGTTTTTATTTAAGTAGGATATTTATGTTGGTTAATCATATTTTTAGATTGACAGTTATAACTGTTTGATATTAGGATAAGTTTAAGTCTAAAAAAGAAATTTAGGAATATATTGTCGATCTGTTTTAATATAGGATTTTATTATATTTAATTTTAAAAAAATAAAACGATTTTCATAAATTAAGAAAGAATGAGTTCGTTACACTTTACTATTTAAATTCAGATTTACTTTTTGGTGTTTGGGAATTATCGTTGCTAGTATTTGAATATTTTTTTCTAGAATCCTAATTCTAAATATTCAAATTTCCACGATAGTATAAATTCTTTCAGTGCACGCTGCCCACAGAACTCTTGCAAGTGGTGGAAAAAGTAGGAAAAAGAGTAGACAGTTAGGTTATCGGCATTGCAGCTTCATAATTAAATATTGTCAACATGGAGGCTGTGTTGCAGTTGTCGCTGCTGCCATGTTGCTGCCGCAGATGTTGCAGATGATTCAATTCCTGCAGCTGGGAACGCGTGCAATTTGATGGCCGAGAACAGGAAGTGCGAAAACTATTAGTGGCACTTATTTATTCATTAGAGCCAGTTAGAGACACCCAGCTCGCCATGGTCTAATTATGCAGATCGTTGGGGCTGGAAAAGCTGACAGCTGCTGCTAATAATGATAATCGTCATTATGAAGAGGATGCATCAGGATGCAGGGGCACACGCTGCTCATTTCGCTATTTACACATTTGCATAATAATGACGACGACGACGGGATGTCAATGCACTTTGGGCTCGGCTCTGTTTCGAGTTCAATGTGCGTGATATAATGTGATGTGATGAGTTATAGGCGTTACCCTTTCGCTTACCTGCTTGAGATATCTTTTTTTACGAGTATATAGGGGTTCGCGGTTCTGAAGTTTTATGCCTGGCAATCACTGGCTTATCAGCACACACAAATCAAAGCGGATACCGAAATATTTATAGGTTGGAACACACTTTTATGGCTAGATGTTGATTGTATGCAAAAATGATATTTTAAGTGGGGAATTGGGAACCCACGGTTCGGCTCGGTTTTATTATATTTTATTCCTCCGGCTTGCGCCACATGGGAGCGATTTCCGCAGAACTCCTGCTCCTGCTTCTGCTCCAAAGAACACACACTCTCACCAAAACAACACACACGCCGGGCAATAATAAAAGCGTAAATGCTTATTTATTTGCAAGTCGTTCGCAAAATGCGCTCTTGTATAATTTATGAAGACCGCGCACACGAGACGCTGTCGACAAGCTCGAGAAATGCGAAAACCGAAAAACCGGCCAACAAAAATAAAGGCGAAATTGAACGTTTTTTATTTGATATATTCTCGAGTTGATGTTCTATTTCGGACCCTCATAAAAAGAGTTCGAAATCACTGAATTTGATTGTCTTTTAGGGTCAGAGGTCAGAGCTGGCGGAGCAACTGCAGTCCATCAATCATCAATCACAACTGCCGAATGCAAAACCGAAAAAGCGCTGAGTTTGCAGTTGGCCAACCGATCAAGCGGACCAAACCGACCGATAGAGCCGACAAAACCGACCGTTAAAACCGACGACAGCCGACTACTAAGACTATAGCGTATAGCGAATCCCGATCCGAACCAAAATCCAGTATTTCCGCTGCAGCGTGCGTTTCGTGCGACGGTCCAACAGCAACTGCTCGAAAATCGACTTGGAGCCGCCTGGCTGAGCCCCCTGTTACTGGGTGGAACCTGTTCGCTTTGGGGTGGACCGCGAGTGTGGATGGTGTTGCCACACTTTGGAGTGGAGTAGTCGGCGCTTTTGGCGCCAACTTTGGAGAGTTTAGAATGCCGGCAGACGAGAGAGAGAGCGAAAAGCAGCACGTGGGTTCAAAGTTGGGCATTAAGAATGGCTTAAAACTTGTATTAGAGATAGTAACTAAGTAAAATAATCCGAATTTTTAGTTTCCGATAAAGTTTATGACGAATGATAGTCTAATGGTTCCAGGGTTGATTATTTCCTTTTAGTAATAGTATTAGCATACTTTCTATCTGCGCTAGCATAACCATATTATTTTAGGCAATTTTATAATTTATTAGATGTATAATAAATAAGAAGATCTGAAAATATAATTAAATGCTTTCATTTATTTCTTATTTTCCCCATTTCCCCCTTTAATTTCCTTTAGCATTGGACATGTTACGAACGAGTGGAGCAAAACAAACGGCAAGAGGTGTGTAGAGTTGGAGAGCGCATGCGCACACTGAGAGGGGAAAACCACTCCAGAGAAAGAGATTATTGGAGTGCCAACAAGAGAGAGACAGAGAGCAGTTCCGCCGGCAAAGACTACGAAAATAAATGCTATGGAATTGACAGGGGCTGCAGTTGGATTTGGATGAGTTCTTTCGGGGGGGAGATACTCTAGAGGGAGGGGGTTTCGAGACTACGACTGGGGTTAGTCAGCATCTGCTTTGTATCTTGCACGCCGAGTGATAGCTAAAGATACATTCCCATTCCGCCTCTCAACTCGCGGGCATTAAGTGCGCTTGTAGCTGTCTATCAGGCACAAATCACCCCATAGAACGCCAATGATCTGGGTAAAGAAGCCCAGGCGATCCAGGAAAAAAAAGAGTACTCCTCCTCCTCCTTCGACTTCTCTTGTAATTTGCAAACCGCAAGTGACCGAGACACATTGGAATTCGCATTCTTCCAGAAGAATCCCAAAGAAATCCCAAACAAATCCAGCAGAATTCGAAAATACACACCCCCTGCCTATCGATCAGTGGTCATCGGCTGTGGAATTTCCTCGGAAATATTTATCTACGCTAATTTCCCTGCTAAACTTGGGCAAGTGGCCACGAAACCGCATCATTTGAGCCGCTCGCGTGCCAGTTTGTTGCAACATTGCAGCAATGCAACATTGCAGCATCGCAGAACGCCCTGAAACTCCAACTACTTCCCATAGACAAAAAGTTTCGGCTGTCCAAAGGTTCGGAATCGCGAGGTCCAGCGATACGTAGATGCCTCCTCTTTGTGGCTTTGTGGCGTTTGGTTTATGGTTTATGCGCCGCCGTTTTTGGTCTATTAAAATGATTGCAGTATTTACGTAGCGCTTTTCAGCCATAATTTGTATTTGCTATGCTCATCATCATCATCATTGGGCAAAGGCAGATGGCAAAGGCACATCCTCCTGCTCTGCGGTTTTCTGGGCTCCATGGAGCTGGAGCCCGAGCCCGAGCCCCCGGCATTTGACCCTTCCTCCCAGTCTAAGCTCTTCTATTGTTTATATCTGCAGCGAGCCAGGCCCAAAAACCAGTCTTTTGGCTTTAGTTTAGGTTTCCTTTCCCAGTGCGTCTGTACATTTCCTTGGCCTTATCGCCCCTCTGGCGTCACATTGCCATCATGGTATTTACCATGATTATTGATCGCTTAATACGAATTTTCTGCTCTTCGTGTTTATTTGTGCAGCTTAGCAGATACAGATACTGGGGCTCTATTTTCGTTATAATGCATAAATATTTGTCACATCGTGATCAATTACAGCTGGCTGAACTGAGTTGACAGACTCGCAGATACAGTGTCGTTGACTCAGCGTGAAAGTTGGCTTGGGAATGGGAATTACAGTCATAATTGTATGCCAGGCCGGGCTTAAAACTTTCAGTTTCATGACGACGAGTGAGTGACTGTGTGACTGACTGACTATCTTCATTCAAGTGCCAGTTATTCGATCATTGCAGGCATTAAATGCATATTCTCAGGGCGAAAAAATACAAGGCGAAGAAGAAGCTGGCAGTTTTCAAAGTCAATCGACACGCCCACTGAGGACATTGAACTGGGTAACAAAGTGAGCACTGAAAAAAATTAATATTAATAAATTTGGTTATTTGTTAGCACTATAAAAATATCTTACAATTAAAAAGGGAATTTTAATATAAATCTTAAATTTACTGTTAATTATTAAGTTTTAATTTTTTCAAGATTTTTATTTTCTAAAATAACAAATTATATCGTACACTTCAGATGAATATATTTCATTTTCTATTAGAAAAATCTTAACTGAAATACTTCATCCTGAGTTAAAATTCCTTTTTTTTCTGTGCAACATTAAATAACCAGTTTAGTGTGGCACATTTTTTGTACGAACTTCCGCTTAGCAGGAACGCAACCAATTTTGACAGATTACAAGGCAGCGAAACGGCCCGAAGGCATCTTTTTGGATTTTTAGCCTTTGGTAAGCCACCAGCCGAGAGGTTTGGTTTTCGAAGGAGAGAACCCTAATCAATGGCCTCAGTGCAGGCGAGGCGATGCCATTGAACCATCGGGAGTTGCGAATTGAGAATTGGCCCAAAAAATGCAAACTGGCTCACTGAAATGGCCAAAATGCCGCCCTGCTGCTTTCAATTACGTGTGCTGGCTACCAAAAAAAGCTACCAAAAGAGCCAAACAAATTTATGGCCAGAACAGAGCCGTTCAAGATCTGAATTTAAAAACACAAAGTCCGCAGACGCTTGCCAACGATTAAGCACCGCAAATCAAAATCAAAAGCCGGGCAAAAGTGCAAAAGGAAACCACGAGGAAAACCCCAGAGACCCCAGCCGGAGATCCAATGGAAAACCAAGGCAAACCCGCAAATGACAAATGTTTGCACTGAGCGTTTTGCTTGAAATGCAACAAGAAAAGCGCCCAAAAAAATGTGAAAAACAGCTAACCAAAAAAAAACAAGCTGGCGAAAACAACCATAAAGTGTTGAGTGCTGGCGGAAATCACTTGAAACCGAAAATAAATCAAAGGAAACAATAATGGAGCACCAGCAGAAACAAAGGGGCAAAGCCAAAATCGAAAAGGAAAAGCGGAAAATAGCGCTGCCAGCATCCGCCGCCAGTACAAAACATACAAAAAGCGATAAAAGCAGCGAGAATCTGCAGGAATAATAAAGTAAAATAAAATAAAAGGGGAAATCACCAGCTGAAACAGTAGTAAAAAGCATGACACAAACTCAAACTCAAACTGAAACTCAAGCCCCCCTCTCGAGATCCCGACCAAATGTCCTTGTGAGTCGGCGACTCGTGTGATTTATGTCCCATTGTCCAGTGATGTCAACCTGGCCAAGCGTCTGCGGAAAGTCTGGCCAGCCTTAATTGCTCTGGCGGTCAGCCACGCCCCTCCGACGCCACAGCCCCCGAAATCCCGCCCCTTCTGACATATCCCACAATTACAGAGGCGACGACTATTACTCACCTCTTTATATGGGGCTTCTCGAGGAAGATTGGATGCAATAAAACAAAGGGCGCGATAAGGTGTGATACCTGGAAACACGAATGCAATTCCGATTATATTGTTCTGGGAAAGGTATTAAATACCTGGAATCGATTCTATTAATTGTGATTTCTTAATTAAATGAACACGAAATTAAATATAATATGTCAAAAAAGTGATGATTAAAACTCATTCATCAGAAAAATGTTTTTTAATATATTTAAATCTAAGGATCTAAAGAATTTTCAAATAATAATATTAAAAATAGTTATGGGTTATCTTTAAAAAACGATAGCTAAAAAATAATTTAAAAGTATATTTTTAAGAATATTCAAGAAAAATATTAAACGATTTTCAAAAAATATAAAGTATAGAATTTTAAAACTCTAAAAAAATATAAAAAAAAATCAAAGTATTAAACAAATAAACAAATATTAATAGCTTATAAGAAAATCCTATCCAACCTTTTATAAACGTTTATCTGTCCTTGATTTCAGGTATACAAACATAATTAGAGAGCACTCCTCGGGCTTAATCTTCCGGCTGTTCAGAAACGCTCGATTGCCATTTAAAGGATTATAATTTTTGCATCGCCGAAACTAAAAACTTCAGACGCAAACTTTGCAGACAGTTTTTGTGCCATTTAAACTCCCTTTTGGTTCGGTTTTTTCAGAGCAAGGTGGGCGGCGAGAAAAGGGATCCGTTTAGTTTTTATTTGGCAGTGCGGCATTTGAATTCAAATGTGCTCTTAAATCGGCTTAGTTTTGCGAGCAGCTTTTATGTTCCAGGCGGCTTAAATTAATGCGCCAGCAGGGACTTTGTTCAAACAAAACAAAAAGCATGGCTCACACTAAAATGAAATATGAATGAGGGAACTGCAATATCGAGGGTTTGAGAATACACGGGGAAAGGTGATTAAATAGTTGAATAGATTTTCTGCATTTATATGGCCTGAGTGAGTGATTTTAATTGATTTCAAGTTGTCGGCTACTGCTACCCAGTCCCCATAGAGTCATAAAACACTGGACATCCATTGAGTTCTCGGGCTCTATCTAATCAGCGCCACTTTCACGCCCACTTTCGGTCAAAATCACAGCCAAGTGTTGTGAAAATTAGATTGTAAACATTTTTAATTTGCCTTGTTAGTGCCGAGATTGTTGTTAAAGCGATTGCTGGAATACCCTCACTATCAGCCATGCAGTAGGTTATATGGTTTATGGGTGTCGTTACAGTTTACTAGGCTATCTGCAATCCTCGAAATAAATTCTTGAAAAATATGTTCTGATTAGAAAAGACATCAACTGCCATAAAAACCAATCTTTATTGCTCAATCATAGGTTATACATATTGTTTACATTATTATGCGGTTCAATGGGTGAAGTTTTGGATTGTAAAAGTAATCTAAAACTAAGAAATATAATAGTAAAATTTATACACGATAATATATATCATTTGCAAGCAGTAGGAGTGCATTGGAGTGCCCCTTGATTGAATAGCAAATGTTATAAATTAAATTTTCGCCCGTTAAATGGAGGGGTAAACACTTGATATAGCCATCCATTTACCAGCTAAACAGTCCAATCTGCTGCGATTTTCCAACTATCTACGATGTTGTGGGCCTGCTGCACGTGCCACGTGCCTCCTCGTGATTCAGGAATTATCCGACTGCATTAACGACCGAATGGATCTGGAAATGGAGTTGTGGTTGGGTTCGGGGGGCCTCGAGTGAGGTGTGGATGCCTCGAGAGTCGCAGCCATGCGTAATGCACTCCGGCGTAGTTTTGTTTCTGCGTCTCTGTTTCGTAGTCATAAATTTTTATGGGCCTCATGAAGCAAACAGCGGGAGGCGATGTCTTAGGTCTTCGAATCTTTGGTCTTGTTCTGGGTAAAAGAGGCGAACGGTTGATTAAAGTGAAGAGCTGATGAGGGGCTGGAAAACTACGCCTTGGAATGGATTCAAATGGCCCAAGATGCACTGTACAGTGCTTCAGATTATTTTGTATTATATCCCGGAGAAACGTACAAATAGATATTCTTCAAGACTAACATTTCTTTAAAATTAAATGATATTATGAACATTTCTTAGGATATCATAAATAGTTATTTTAAATTCTCCTATTTAAGCAGCTCTAACATTAATATTATAATTTTATTTTTATAACTTCGAGCTACCCTTTTTAATGGCTTTAAGTTAGTGAGGTAGTCGAATGCCATGAAATACCCGTTGCCAACCAGAATTCTTAAGGTGACTCTGAACCCGAAAGCACTCGTCAACATCCGTTGGATAACCGCGGCTAATCAAATCAGATCTAGCCAAATTGCAGAAATACTTGGGCCAAAAATAAACGGCCAGCAAATCGCTTCTGACAATGGGTCATCATCAATTATGCGATCGGTTCGGTTAACTGAAGTGCGACAGCGTCTATCTCTATATCTCTCGGGGGTGTATAAAAATAAAGACCGTTTGCCGACAAGTCGCTGGCGTTTTGGCCCGACCACTTAATCAAAAGTCCGCAGACATGAGCAAACATTTTTTTGTGCTCACTCTCTCTCCGGCGGAATGATAACCGCAATTAACGGCATTACACGGCAGGTGGGGCGAAAGCCGGCCACTTACAGGCGATTTTGGCCAGCTGCGATAAGGTGGGGAACCGGGAGCCACCCCACAATAATTGGCCCGAACAAGCTGTCATGAGTGGCAAAGAATTAAAAGCCGCTCGCAATTAAAATAAATAAGTTAGTAATAGATATTACGTAGAACGAAGCGTTGCTCCACGAAGAACGCGAAGCCCCGAACCCCAAACGAACCCAAAAACAGTCCGACATCCGATATTCCGCTACTGGCGAACTGGACAGGCGTTTTGCACCAACTGGGTGCCAAAAAGTTAAATAGTTGATCGAGAAAGGGCCAAGCGGATGGCCGTGAAACCGCAGCGCGCGAAAAAGAAAATATAGAAAATCGTCGCGAAATCGTCGCCCTCCTGGAAAGTTACTAATTGAGTCCCGTGATTCAGAAAGAACGAGTTGCAAACTATGACTAAGTGGAGAATGGATATACTGGGAATTTTCGTACTCATCATTAGCTGCTTGGGATTATCAAGTGCGCTCGGAGTCCATCTGAGCGATCTTCAGCAGGACCTGGGTACGTTAAAAGGACCTTCCCTAATTTTTTGTAGTTAAGAAAAATGTTTTTTTTTTGGTTGGATAAAAATATTTGAATATTCTTTTAAAGGATATAGAACGAAATATTCATTTATTTTAGGTTTTCTTAAGTTTTAGATTGTTTAGCAACGAAAATGGAAAAATGGTCAATGTTTAATTTAAGAATATTTAACTTATAAAAGTATAGGTACAAAACAAAAATTAAATATAAGTACTTAATATGTATTGTCCCTCTAAAAAGGATAGTTTTTTAACCGCTGGAATATAATCAAAATGTTAACCATTTTATCACAATATCGTTGACATTATCATTTATTACCCATTTTACAATCATGTGACAAATTTTTATTTTGTCACCATGGGGCATTAAATTGATTTCACAATTTTTATGTGCACCGATGCCATTTTTTAACTTTGAACTTTAAAAATTTGGATTCAGTTTTTAGTTTTATAGAAAGAATTTTTTCTGAAAAATAATTATGTTGTCAGGATGTATATATATTTTTTAAACCAATTATAATTATTCTTTGGTACTTTAATTTTTCTTATCACAATTAGACAGTTTTTATTATTAGTTCGTCTAGATTATTGTGAATACTAGGAAAAATTATCTGCACTTAAAAAACGTATCAATCAAATTGCAATAACCATTTGAAATACACGTGTCGTCTATAGAAAATATTAAAATTTAAGAATTTTGTGTCCTTTAGGGCTGTAAAAAATAACAATTCAGTATTCTCCAATGTAATTCTCCCCATAAGATTAGAATAAGTTGATTTCACAATTTTATATAATTTAATTTTTATCTCGTTGTTCCTTTAGCTGCCAATGGATCGGTGGTTCTGACCCCTTTAAACAGTACGGATGCCTTTGATGTGTCTATCAACTTGTCCCAATCGACGGTCAACAATTGTCCTTCGCTGAAAAATGCGGAATCCATGTCGCAAATGGAATTGCTCACCCGTTTAACTGCAGGCTGTCGCTATGACAGGATGGTTCCGCCCGCCGTTTACAAGGATGGAGAGCAGGTGCCCATGGACATCTATGCCCGTTTCTACATTTACGTGATGAAGAACCTGGACTCGAGTGATCTGCAGTTCATGGTGCAGGGTCTGCTCCAGCTGAGATACTTGGATCCGCGACTGGCTTTCTCCAGTTATCTGCCGAACAGAAGGCAGCCAATAATGGGTGAATCGGAGCTGAAGAAAATGCTCTGGGTGCCACATATATTTCTGAGGAACGAAGAGGACTCCACTGTTCTGGGCACCAGTGCCAAGGATGAATTGACCTCTATATATCCCAATGGCACCGTTTTGACTTCCACGAGATTGCAGGCGACTCTCTATTGCTGGATGAACTTCCAGAAGTTCCCCTTCGATGAGCAAAAGTGCACTACGATCCTGGAAAGTTGGATGTATAATACCTCCCTAGTGCAACTTCATTGGGAGACGAACCTCCCGGTGTCCTTTGACAAACAACTTCAGCTGACGGAATACAACCTCATTGGCTCCTTGTACAATGAATCGATAAGAGTGTCGAATAGTTCTTATATGACCCATGGTTCCTTGGAGGGCAACTACAGCATAATTAGCTTCACTGTTCTGCTGACCCGTGAAGTGGGCTACTATGTGATTGACTACTTTCTGCCCTCTATCATGATTGTGACCATTTCGTGGGTGTCCTTCTGGCTGCAGGCGGATCAAACTCCTGCCAGGACTACCCTAGGTTGCACCACCCTGCTCTCCTTTATAACGCTTTCCTTATCGCAGGAGAACGACCTGATGAAGGTGAGCTATGTGACCATGTCGGAGGTGTGGTTCCTGGTCTGCACCATCTTCATTTTCGGCAGCCTGGTGGAGTTTGCCTTTGTCAACACCATTTGGCGGAGGAACAACGATCTGCAGCTCAAGAAGCGAACCACCAAGTATATTGTCAAGTCAACATTTGTACCCAATCTGAAGAGACATCGTCGACATGGCTATCGGAGGACCGATAGCACCATGAGTACGATGAGCACCACCAGCATGGACAAGTCGTGTGGTCCCAATAACACGGTGATCACCATAGAGACTCCCATCATCATAGGAGGCAGTCTCAGTCGCGAGGATTCGGCCATAAGTCTAGATGAGCAGGATGAGACCTCCACATCCTCATCGAGTGATTCGGCGAAGGAGAAACCCCCTCAGACCTTTGCCACCATGACACCCAAAGAGGTCTCCCTGTGGATCGACCGAAAGATGCGGTTCGTCTTTCCGCTGGCCTTCGTCGTCTTCAATGCCCTGTTCTGGACCCTGGTCTACTGCCTTTGAGGATCCCACTTTAAAGAGCCATTCTGTGATCCTGGAGCATCCTCACCCCCGCCTCATTAGCCTTAGTTCTTGCAGTAGAGCTTGAAAATGATCGATATTTTCGATATTTTGACAATATTGATTCGATAATATCAATGTTTTCAAGTTCTATCCTGAAGGTACCACAAAACTTGCTTAAAATTCGGCCAACTAACTAAATTCAGCCATTTATGTCTTGTAAAATCCCCGTTTACTGCAATAAATAAATAATATTTTCAGCCGAATTTTAAGCAAGTGTTGTAAGCCCTTGGTCCACAAAAAAACCCCGACAGGTGATGGAGCTTCCCCCTTTTCTCGGGCGTCCTACGTGTTATGTAGTTTGTATTTGTTTCTAATAAATTATATGTTTTGATACAACAACAAACACCTCCCCCGACTTGAGCACGTACAGATCTGATAAATATGTTCCTATTAGCGCTGCGTGGAAGGGGCCCATAAAACTCGCGGCAGCCCCTCTGCATTTGTATCAATGAAAAAATCATAATGCCAGCACGCCCCATTGCAGTTCGGCTCGATTCTTAATTAATTGGCCATGATGATGGGACTGTTGAAAAGCGTAGCTCCTCCGGAATCAGTCTGTGAATCCGCAGAATCCACAGAATTTCCAGTGATAAATGAACGGCTCATGCAACACGTAAATTGATTTTAAATTGCCTTATAAATGAACTCCAATTCGCCGGGCAATAAACAATGTGTTATTGCGATCTCCTCAACTCAGCTCGGCTAGATGATGCCAAATAATTTCGCCTCCTCAGTGTGAGTGGGAATTAATTTGCAGTGTCCATAACTTAGATCGATCCGAGGTACAGAGAGCGCATTACTATGCAAACCCACTATCTGCCCATCAATCTCGGCCTTTTCCGTTCTCGAACTCGTTTTTGGCCAACACAACGCCGCGAGGTGTACATAATGAGATGTAATCTGTCAAAATTAAGTGTATCGCTGGACCACTGGGCCTCCTGCCTCATGCCTCCTGCCTTTTCCCTTTTTTTCCGATTTTTAAAGTAGAGGAGGTGGCCACTGGCCAGTTGAACATTTTCGTTTGCAGCCTGAAACTTTTGAGGCTCAACAAGTTTATTGAACTCAAACAGCGAGGGCAGTTCTCTGGGTTCCGATCACCGGATGTTCCCATGTCAGGCGGTAAGCCCGCCATATGATAGATGCCCCGAACAGCTGTACTTATCAATCGGCTCCCTAAAAAATAGGAAAACAAGAACCCGAAACAGGGCTCAACTCCCTCAACAGCACTTTTCTTTATCGATTGGGCGCATAATAGGTCAGCCTGGAGTTCATTTACACGCCGCCTATTTGTTTAGCTTAACTTCCGATTCCCGATTCCCGGTTGCCGATTCCCCAGACCGAGAAAAACCAAAGTGAATCCACGGGAACTACTGGCAAATGATCTGCATAATAAGCGGGTGCTTCAGTCCGTTTGTTTTCCTTACTTTTTTTTCCTTCTGCCTTTCCTAAAGGCCCCTCCTTTTTGCACATGAGAATTACAGACATTTTCATTTATTATTATGTGGTCCGGCCGTATAATTTGCAGTCACTTGCGACCGCTCGAGGCTCCCACACGTCGTCCCCGCGTTTCTCAACCATGAAGTTGTAATGTAAATGCCACCGACTCTCCAGACTCTAGATTCAACCGCAGAGAATCGCGGGGAGAACTCCCTATATAAATGGATAAATTAATAAACAAACGAACAAAAGAACCAACACGAAAGACACAATTATTGTAATGCGTTATGCGGACTTTGAGATGGGGTTTTCCATCGCACAATGGGGTTTTTAAAAGGGATAGGGAAGTGATGGGATGACTTGAAGACAAGAATACAAATGGTTATTAAGCAATTGTAAGTTGTTACATTTATGAGTTATAATAGTATAGATAAATATAAATGAATATTTTTTATTTTAATGGAAGTATTAGAAACAAATTTATTATTATATACTAAGCAAAATTGTATGAGTATTAAGCAACAAAAAAACTTTTCTAATAAATAAATAAATTTCTTAAACTGCTATTTTTCTAAGATGTCCATTTAATTCAATAAATTTCCTTGCTCTTTTCTGGCATCTTGTTTATTTTTAATAGATTTACCCCAAATGGATTACAGGCACTTCAAGCGAAGACAAATATCCTCCCAACTTGCTTACAAATAAACGACAAATATCCCATTTATCTTGAACTGTCTTCGAGAATACTTCTCATTTTCGGAGAGCATTATGTAGTCGTGGTCGCGATACCACCCCCATGTAAATACTCATTGCATTAGTCGGTTTATTTTTAGATGGTGGGAAAAATTCTATTTCGAGCCGCATTTGGAGCGCCCAACTCAGATCTCGCCTATCTGAACACCAGAATCAGAAACAAGGGGAGCAGTCTCATTGTTGTTATGTTAGTTTTGGTTTTTGGTTAGCTTAGCCAATTTCTGTGTAGTGTTTGAAGCCTGTCTTTCGTCTAGATGTCGGGGGTTTGGACTTCAGGTTTTCGGAGTTTGGAGGGAGTTCCATTTCCAGTCCAGTCACGCTCGGTGGGCGCTGGTTCAGAAGTCAAGTACGAGCCATTGCCGTCCAGCCAAAGCGTGCGAATGAGCCCAAGAGTCTGGGGTCTTGCCAATCGATTTTATGACTAATAGATGCCTTAAATAACTGGCCAATACCGGCTAATTTGGCCAAAGCCGTGTGCAAATTTAATGCACATCATGGCCAGGGCATTAGCATAAGCCTTTGCCCAGCGGATTAAGTTGCCAGTCTGGACAAACCGCATGGCTAATGAGAATGCAGCTCGGGACTTCGTGCTTCTCTGGACCAGAGGCTCCGTCTCAGGTTCAGGTTCTTAAGTATTTACATGCTGCATGCCACAACCTATTAACAAATTGCAAACAAAACTGGCGACCGCACAGTAGCCGCCCATTCGGGAGGATCTGCATTCCCATTCCCAATCCCCCCGAGAAGTGGGCGTGCATTCTAAATTATGGTGCTAATAAGGAGCTGCCTCTGCGGCTAATTTAATGGAATGCAAACGCACTGCGTTAGTGCATCATTTTGCCCCGAAGCTCCTGAAGTTACCAGCTGCCGAAGCCGAGGCTGCCTTGACCCACGATGATCTTTTGGCGGACTATGACGATGGCGCCGGGCGATTAGGTGGCATGCAACCACGGCAGCTGCAACTAAATGCTGCACCACCGGTGGCGCCTATAAAGCAAAGCATAGCTGCACCACACCACACAGCACAGATTTGAATCATTCACTTGGCTTGAGCCTTGAATCGCCCAAAGGCAGCAAACGTTTTGCACGTTTTTCCAATGAAGCCGCAAAACGGAGCGCCCCTCCTGCGGTCATAATTAATGAAAATTGCAAGGACACTTGGGAAAACTACGAACTGAAAGTATGGAAAATCAGGAAAAATGTATGCTAAGAGTAAATAAAATTAAATTTTAAAATGCTTCGTTTATGTTCCCAATAATATTTTTGTCATAATTTTTTCACATCTCAATATTCTTCATCTCTATATCCCATTTTTAAGATCCCATCCCATTAAACCCTTTTTAAGAACCTAATCCTTCAGAAATTTCTCTCCCTGTAAATGCAACTGGTTTTTGGATTTTCCTATATTACCACACCCTATAGCCATTACGATCGATCGCTTGACTGGCCATTTCTTTTGGCAAATACCTTTTGCAGGCAGGCAGCAGGTAGCCATGTGACGACCCCAGTTTTGTAAACTCCCCTAGGGCGGCGGTTATTAATTAGTATCTGCTTATCGCCGGCGCACTCGAGTCGCGTCGAACATTTGTCATAGATATGTGTACCAAACAAAGGTATCTGGGTTTTTATGGCGCGGGAGTGCCCCACGAATATAAAGCGAGTAAACGGAGTCGCCCGATCTTATCGAGTAATGTTTCGCTCGCCGTGTGACACTATCTTAAATGGAGGCGAGTTGTCGGCCGAGTTGCGGGTTAGCCAACTTTGGCCTGAGCTCATCCGCTGAATTTATGGCCCATTGGCCCAGACCCTGGGCATTCTAATTCGAGGTTGGCTTTAATTAAACACGATATCGATGGTGTAAGTGCAGCAGCAGCCTCTTAGCCTTTCAGCCTGGCGCCACCAAAGTCGCAGTTCTCTTTTGGCCACATTGTCAAATGGTAATCAAGAAAGGCATCAACCTGTCGCGGTTATCGCACCAAGTGCGCTAAACAGCCAGCAAACAGCAGTTGGCGCAGAGACAAACAAGCATGACTGGGACTGTCTGGGCGCAGATCATGTACAGCTTCTTTGGCAGTCACGCCTATGATGACTAAGAATTTTAGAACAATATATCTCTGAAGAAACCCTATAAATCCCTTTGGAAAATAACCTAATAAATTGTGTTCTCCTGTGACATTTGCTCTAAATCTGCTTAGAATATACGCAATGCGTTTTAATGCTTATAAATTATACAAAAAATAAGAATACCATTTGAATTAGGCTTTTATAACAGGCCTATATGTATTCCTATATATTTTCTGTAGGTCTTAGATATGCCTGAACCAATTTAATAATATTTCAACGAATATATTTATTTATTTAATATTTTATCCCATATTTCATAAGCATATTATTTCAATGCAATCGTAATAATAATTTCGTATATTCCTGCCAAATGATTTTAAAAAGCTCTTATTAAATACGAATGCTGCTCGCAATAAGATTTCTATTTAATTTGTGACTCATTTGTGAATGATTCAGACTCCCCGGCAAGTCTGGTCGCAGATAAAGCTCCTCCATTCTGTGGCAGTGAGTTTTGGGGCTCCTTTCAGTTCGTTTCAGCTTCGTTTGCGGCAACAAACTTTGGCAACTTGCAGCGCGGCGCGGCGACTTGGCCATTACTTCCACCAGAAGATATTCAACATCAGCTTAGTGCAACGGCACACACGCTTCTACAAAGCCAAGAGTACCAAAAGTACGCGGGCCAAAAGGCAACATGGAAAAAAATTAGTTAAAAGATAAACATGGCAGAGCCAAAGAGCAGGGCCATGGGCAAGGGCACTCGTAGGGGGCGG